TGTCAAATAAATAAATAAAATCTTTAAAAAAATAAATAAAAAATAAAAAAATAAAATTATAACCGATTCTTGTGTTTCCATTCCTTCTGGTAACTGGAAACAGTTAACAATGGTGTCTATGCTAGGTGCCTGGCAGCAAAACCTAACTGAAAAAAGAGATTCTGAAAGCAGAACCAAGAATCATGTGTTCTCTCTTCCTTCCCTATCCACAGGGGTTCCTCACTGGTGCCGGCTAGGGAGGGCAGAGAAGATGGACTGGAGGCACCTCCAAGAACAAGGAAGTAAGGGAAGCTTGATTGTTCTCTGGGGTTAAGCTATGGAAATCAACACATCAGAGTGGAGAGATGCAAAATACCCTTAAAGAGACCAAATAGCTCCCAGGCCTCTGATACCAGACGGAGAGCTGATTAAATCTATTAACATATCTAAAGGAAAAATGTTTCGGTCTCCAGGGGCAGTTGGTCAGATGGAAGGCTTAGAAAAAGGAGAATTTTAGAGGCAAATGCCAGAGATATCCATCCAAGAAGTCAGGGGGACAACTCGCAACCTGTCTAGTGTAAGATAAAGGAAAGTTATTTTTACCATTGTAATATTCAGGTATGATGGGGTCATGGGATTGCCCAGCATCCTGAGATGGGCCGCAGTACTGAATGAAATGACAGAGGTGCTGGGTTCTGGAAGGCTGGGACCATGAAGCACTAAACACTGACTGACCCTGCTTGGATCCACGGTCCTCACACCAGCTTGCCGGTAAAATCTAGCTTCCCATGTGCGAGGCCTTCAAGGAGAGAAGGTATGACCAGAAGATAGCCCTCCAGGCTCTGTGTCACTTCATGAAATAGCATCGTGACTTCATCTATAATTTCTGTCACTTGGGTAATAGAAATGAACCTTGGGAGATAACACCACTCCCTTACCGTACTGACCATTGTTCCTGTAAGTTTGAGCCCTCCCTAGCGTGGGCACTAAGATAATGTTACCCTGAAGCTTCTGGGAAGTGGCTGGCCCAGACAGCCGGGGTCCACCCCCACCCCTCTGCCCCTGTGTGCACTCAGGGCTTTCCTTGGAAAATTCCCATCAGCCTGGGCCTCAGAGATCAGTTGGTGATTATCCTCTAAGATGTTTGATTATAAACATGTAATTTTTCTTATTCGGCATCCTTATTAATCAAAGACATGCAAATTAAGAAAAAAATTAGTAAAGGGAAAATTGGCACAGGGTATAAGCAAAAAAGCATTCCCACATACTGCAGGTGGGAGCATAAAGTGGGAACACACCAAACATCTGAAAAATACGTGTATACCTCTGACCCAGCAATTTTACTTCTAGGAATTTATCCTTACCTATTAATTAAGGGGATGAACAAAGATTTAACCACAATGATGTCTTCTACAGCAGTTCATAATAGCTAAAACATGGAAATCATGTAAATATTCAACAGCTGAAATTTGTTAAATATCTATAATGCAATAACACACTTACATTTGTAGTATGTTACCAAAGTACATTTACTAACCAGGAAAGATATTCACACTGTATTTTTCTTTTCCTTTCCTTTCCTTTCCTTTTTTTTCTTTCATTTGCTTTTCTTTTGTTACATTTTCTAATTTTTTCAACAAACATTTATTACTACATACAGCCCTGGTTCTAAATCAAAGTTGAGGAACTGCCCCTGTTCCTATAAAGAATAGAATCCAGGGGCTCCTGGGTGGCTCAGTAAGTTAAGAGCCGAACTCTTGATTTCAGCAGGGCTCATCATCTCAGGGTCCTGGGATCAAGCCCAGAGTCGAGCCCTGCTTTAGGCTCCACGCTCAGCGGGAAGTCTGCTTGAGGATTCTCTCTCCTGTGCCCCTCCCCCCATTCTCTCTCTCTCTCTCTCTCTCTCTAAAATAAATATACCTTAAAAAAAAAAAATAGAATCCAGTCATTGGAAGGAAGAGGACACAGACAATATCCATTATATCCATTTAAGTCTTTTCTCCACTTGCGATCAAAGGAGACTCAAACAGGTATAAGGCTTCTCCGAGGTCACCCAATGCTCTTACCCAGCCCTGCAGATACTTAAGCCAGCATGTGTCCAGTCATTTCTAATGCCTTCAGTTTGGAGCAGAACCTTGTCTCTCTCGATGCTACTCAACACCAGTGTCTTAGCTCGGAAAGCAATGTTGCCCCTCTTAGCTGTGTGTAGAGCCAAAATAGTTGAATACACCCCCTTTTTAATGATCTCTCTTCTCTACGTCCTCAACACAGTAGTCAGAAACCTCAATTGCAAACTTAATCGCACATGATACTCCAAAATTTTCCGAAGTGAATCGTAAAATATCCAACTTCCCTTGAGACATTTCAGAATGAATTGGTGAGATGGGGAGACAGAAAGTGACAAACAAAGAAGGTGTACTTTGTGACCCTGACTTAGAGTGGTTTCTTAGTGTGAAAGCTCCTTTGCGTTTTGCAAGCCTCATCCTTCTGTGTACCAGGAAAGAACACACTGGCCTCTCAGAAGCTGCCTCGGGACTCTGGTCAGCTGCGGTGGAAAAGTCCTGCCTCTGTTCTCTTCTGTGACCTGAGTCTAGTGACTCCTTGACCAGTTTCCAAAGAGACATTTATTGCAAAATGGTAATTAACACTGCGACATCCGGCTTTAAATGATCCTTCTATAACGTCTGTTTTCTCCTCAAGCGAGATTCATGTGGAGATTTTTGATAGGACACAGGGACAGAGCAACGCTTCCGTCATTCCACAGACCAGGAAAGCAGCAGCCCAGGGTGACAGGGAATGATCCAAGCTGCCCCACGCCCCCCAGGGCTCCATCTCAGCTGCCATTCGCATGTGCCATTTCCCAGCGCTGGGAAACACAAGCGCCCTACAAAGTGATGGAGGTCTTACTTACGGACACACATTTCCCTGCTTTCATAAAATCCAGGACAACACTGGGATTTGCGTCTATACATAGTCTTCTCCCCATGCCGATAGGCTGTCCGATAACTGATTCTGCACGGAAGGAAAAAATCACATTGTTACTTCTTTTGACCAGCAATTTGATCAGAAGTAAAGAATTTATATTTTGATACAAAAGAGCTATTAAATATAATAAAGGTATGAAAAACAAAGTACTCTAAAATAGGTAAGAAGGAACATGGACTGTATGTCTTTTTTTTATATATATAATGTATTATTGGTTTCAGTCTTGAACAATATTATGCTAACTCTTATCTTTTTGCTTAAGAATATATGTATCTATATTTTTTTAAAGGAGTAGTTTATTTTTTTTTTTAAAGATTTTATTTATTTATTTGACAGGGAGAAACACAGCGAGAGAGGGAACACAAGCAGGGGGAGTGGGAGAGGGAGAAGCAGGGGGAGTGGGAGAGGGAGAAGCAGGCTTCCGCGGAGCAGGGAGCCCGACCCGGGGCTCAATCCCAGGACCCTGGGATCATGACCTGAGCCGAAGGCAGACGCTTAACGACTGAGCCACCCAGGCACCCCTTTGCTTAAGAATATATTAAAATTGCGCATTTTAGCCAACCTATACTTTATTTCAAGGGATCAGAAGTTTCATGACTTTCCTATTTCACTTATCTTGAGATACCTTGGGAAGTATCGATTAATTTCAGATATGAGGGGCGCCTGGATGGTTCAGTCAGTTAAGCGTCTGCCTTCGGCTCAGGTCATGATCCCAGGGTCCTCGGATCAAGCCCCGCATCGGGCTACCTGCTCAGCGGGGAGTCTGCTTCTCCCTCTCCCACTCCCCCTCCTCCTGCTCATGCTCTCGCTGTCTCTCTCAAATAAATGAATAAAATCTTTTTTAAAAATTTCAGATATGACACTGATCTAATTATCATTTGCTTACATATGTTTTAAAAGAATTCAGAGAATTCCTTGAAAAACCTATGACAATACAGTCTCATCCCACTATAAAATAGGTTATATATAGACAAATGACCCTCATTTAACTAAAGCCTCATTCATTCACTGATTTATTTATATAACACATGTTTACTGAGCACTCACTATATTCCAGGCACCACTCTAGGCATTGGGAAAATAACTCACAGTGAGCAAAACAATATAAAGCCTTGCCCTCAAGAAATGTATATTCCACTGGGGAAGAAAGACCTATAGAATTTAAGTACAGATCCACATTAAACGAATAAATATGTCATATAATGACTGGTAACGATTATATGTTGTAATGAAAAATAAGGCCGGAGTAAGGGAAGAGAGTGTGACAGTATGGGAATACTTGTTTAGATAGAGTGGACGAGGAAAGCTTGTCTGAAGAAATAACATTGAGCATAACATTTAGTGCAGCATAAATCAACAGATGCCACATTTAGACCCATCACTCACACCACTATAAGTTTATTTTACAAATAAAAGTAAGGTATCAAGGTTCCCTTCCATATTAACATTAATATTTAAGATATTTTTCTTTTCTGTTTTCGCATTTATAGGAAAAAAAATATGTGTCTTAAGTTGAGGTCAAATTTAAGTTAGTCTAGGGGTGCCTGGGTAACTCAGTTGGTTAAGCATCTGACACTTGATTTCAGCTCAGGTCATGATCTCAGGGTCATGAGATCAAGCCCCACGTCAGGCTCTGCACTGGAAGTGGAGCCTGCTTAAGAGTCTCTCTCTCCCTCTCCCTTTTCCCTCTGCCCCCATCCCCCGACCCTGTGCACGTGCGTGTATGTGCTCTCACACTAAAAAAAAAAAAAAAAAAAAAATTAAGTTAGTCTAAATTGAGTCAGATATTCAAGTAGAAACATACACTGGAATATGAGTCTCTGGATACATAGTGATGTCCATATTGAAGAGCGTCTCCCCCGTTTATGCACCACACACAAGCTGCATGAATTCTTGCTAACCAAATGATGGTAACCAGTAGACCCTTTCTCTGTAAGCTCCTCAAGGGCACAGACAGTGGTTTTGCTTTTCCGTATCTCCTATGGTTTGGAACAAGGCTAAGATGATAGCAAGCACTCAGTAACTATTCACGAGATGAATGGATACATCTTCTCAAATGTTTAATGTCTCTGCATTAAAGGACTTCCCAGTTAGCCGAACTCATAAATGTATCTGGGCTTCGATTACCTGTGCCGTGTGCATTTAAACCAGTTCAGAATGTCAGTGCAGCTGGTGTAGTAGATTTGATCGAAGGGATGTGGGTATGACTCTTGCACAGTCACTGAGTAGCTGACAAAGAAGAAAGATAAAGAATCAATATTTCTGATTCTTACATTCGTGATATACCACGTATGTAAAAAAAATCAGAGGCTAAATTATCTTCATTGGCAACTCCATGCTGACTTTTAATAGAGAATCTCCATGTTTTTACAGGTTTTTATTTGACCCAGAGCACCAAAAGGACCAATATTAATAATACATTTAAAAGACAAGGGTTCATGTTCTGAATTTCATAAAAGAATTCTCTTTACCATTCACCATAAATTCTGATAATCCCAAATTTACAAACATGATCACCATATATTGTTCTGTATTTAATTCCATCCCCTCATCCCAGGGGTGCAGGGTTAACCCAGACCTTTCACAAGAAGTTTTCGATCTAAATCTGTATGCAAATAATAAGTACAGAGACCATGTGAATATTCATAACAGTACATTTTGGTACAGATTCTGGAAAATCAGAAAGAACATATTTCTCAGGTTGGAACTTGAATTAATTTGGTTTTGTGCGCCTGCCCTACTTCTCAGGCACTGGGAGGATATATACAAGCTCTAAATAAAAACTACAAAGTCTCTAAACATATCGCTGAAACAATTAGCCTGAAATATACATATCCACAGCCTGCTGCTACTTAGCCTGGTTTCCACTACATTTTCACTAACAGCTTCTTGTTAAAGTAAAAGTATGCAATCCTAAGGGCCTGAGAATGTAGGTGGAAAACATCCATAAAACATAAAGAGCATTCAATGTTCAATGTCATAGTTCTTCATTTTAAAGCAGTCCATTACATGCTCAAGAGCTTAGAGTTCCTACCTACACGAAAACCTGGAGAATCCTCTTGGCCGAACGAGTTAATCCTCTTCTCTTTAACAATCTCAAAGATTTTCACTTAAATCTTTAATTCACACTAGCAAATGAAACAGGCCACAATTATGGACTCACTTGCAGCAAATCAATAGGCCAACTTCATTATTAGGAACTATCGACTAGAGAAGGTACAGAAGGAATGAGGCTGAAATGTCAGCATGAAGAATTCAGGTTAGAAATAGGGTAGAACCTTCTCATTTGAAAAGCTATGTGGTGTTAGGCTCCCCAACAGTGGGATTTCTTTCTCCAAGTAGCCCCTGTTAGCTATTATGTGCTTAGGCTTCAATAGGAAATCCATAAAATAATCATTCTGTTCACACTTTTGTGTATCTCATTCTTTGGGTCACTGCAACTTGATTTCTAGGTAAATTTAGTGATCCTCCACAAATCTTAGGCAGATGCAATAGGCCCTACTGAAAAGATCACCGATTAGCAGAAGACAGGGTTATCCTGATCTGACGCTGAGAAACTAGATGGTCATTAGCAGATAACCTTCCTTCCCTTGGTTTTGAGTATCACATTTGAAAACCAAAGAATCACGGATGGTCTTGAAGATCCCTTCCTACTTGGCATTCTGAATTTCTTACATACATTTTAGGTGATTATTTCCTTCTCTGTTGTATGCCCCCTGAGGCTACCCACAAGAGCAGGTTCAGATGAGTGTAGGGGATGCAAACCCCCACATCTGTAATATAACTCCTTTAAGGGAAAAGAGGCCACTGTTAAAATATAAAGGTTCTTGGGATGAAATATCATAATAAAGTATTAATGTCTTCTGACCTCTAGCACTGTTCTGAGGTTCAGGTTGATGCAAATTCCAAGACTTCCTCAGCAATTTTTTCCCTGCCTATCCAGCTGCTTGTAAATAACTGAACCTTGAGGCCTGCAGCATTATTTCTCTATTCCATTTTCAGTGCAGAGCAAAGCGAATGAATGTCCTCTGCTTATAGGTGCAGTTCTGCATTACCCATGAGCAAAACACAGCTATTGCCCACACGTGCTAGAGGAGTAAAAAAGAAACCACCCTAAATCAAGGCGGACTGGAAGACAAAAATGTTCTACCAGGCTCTACAGCACTAATTCAACAGAACTAAAGTGGATCGTTGGAACTAAACTGGATGCATTATTCCCATAAAACTTCAAAGGCCGTGTTATGATGGTTAAGGTCTGTCTGCCTTGGTGAGCAGAAGAGATAATCAACAAAGGGATCCCGGCCAAACACATCCCATTTAATGTGGATGGGAGAACAGATTCCATAGGCAAACACGAGAAATGTTTTCACTAATTTCTAGCAGTCTGGAGGATTACTTAAATGAGAGAAAGTGTTCAAGTATATGAATTTTCTCTCTTGCCACTTGCTGTTCACCAACAGCACACATTTGAGGGACGCTTCTCTGGTTTTCGGATAGAAAAAAAGGCTCTTGGTAATCAAACCATTTAGGATTCCAATTCAACAAAGTTATTTGAACATCTCTGCAATTTCCGTCCCCAAAGAGCTCTCAAGAGGGGCCAGCACATGATGCTGGAAATAACACAACAGGGCTCTAACAGAGAAATACGTACAGTTTTGGGGAAACACGGACACAAAAGGTACTATGCTCTGAGCATTTCTCTTCCACCTTGACTCTTCTGATTAAAATTATTCAGAGCCTCAAATTCAGTTCAGAAGTGACTGAAAACAAATTACTTTGCACATTGATCACAAATAGGCTTCTGGTGAAGTCTATGGGAGAAGGGCTCTAAGCCTCTTCACACCAAATTTCCTTTCTGTTGGTTTTTATACATTCTTTTTCTTTTCCATACAATCTTGCTCTTCCCCCCCCCCCATTTTTAATGGTATTCTAATCACATGACAAAATTTGGAAAACATTAACATTAATGAGAATTCTCTAACTCTTACACAACCACCGATAGCATTTTGCTGACTTTTTACAGTCCTCAGGGGTTTTTTAGCTTTTTGTGTTAGTTTAGTTTTTTGGCTTTTATTATAATATAATCACACGACTCACATAATTCTGAAAATTACTTTTAAACTTGAATGTATCATAAGCAGGTTAGTAAATCGTGAATATTCTTCAAATTACGACAGCCAAATACTCTGTAACTGACTATACCTAATTTGCTCAATACCCACCTACGGTTGAAGAAATAACTTGTTCACTTTTCAAGGGGCCACTTTGTGGAGGCCGTGTGCTTGCATCACAAAGGGAAAGATCTCTGAGAACAGGCCAGCCTCCTCTGGGTCTTTTTTATTTATTTATTTAATTTTATTTTCTTATGTTATGTTAGTCACCATACAGTACATCATTAGCTTTTGATGCAGTGATCCACGATTCACTGATCCATGCAGTACATGCCCTCCTTAATACCCGTCACTGGGCTAACCCATCCTCTGGGTCTGTATCACCGCTTCCAGGCCTCTGCTAACCGTTCACACCTCCGTGTTCCTCAGCAGCTGCTCTTAAGTCAAAGCAGGAAGGAACCTTCTTGACTGCCTAGTCCAATCCTGTTTTTATCACAAATGAGCAACACTGAGCTCCCTGTGCTAGTGGTCAGCCTAGGGCCAGCACTAAGCCCGGGGCCCCCAGACACCGTCCTGTCCCATGCCACCTCTCAGATGTCATTAGAACATCTAAAGCTTCTAAAGCAGACAACTGGTGCCAAACTGTGGTATAAAGGGAATCTGATCTCAATTCTACACTATTTTCACCACAGAGATGCGTAACTCTTCACCTCCTGCTTGTGTGTTTAATCTTCTCAAAGACACTGAAAACATATCATCACCGGGACTTTAACCTATTAAATATCATCCGGGGAGAAACCCCAGCAAGATTTAATTTAAGGTCAAAGAATGGGGGGGGGTGTGGGGAAGCCATCATCACTTGGACACATTCCAAAGTGGTTCATTACATTCTATCTGCCAAAATGATCTTGTTACTTTAATCAGATATGATAATAATCATCATTCCTTATCTCTGCTCGCTTCAGGACTTGCTGCTTCAATTACCACCACTTCTGTGTTCCACCCCCAAGGGGATGGGCAAAGCATGGCTTCTCTTCCTTGGTGCCCTCTTTAGCAGAAACCCCAGTAGATGCCAACACGTAAACTCACAGACCAGGGAAAGGTGATATGAAGAAGGAACAGACAATTCATGGAATTATCCATTTCCAAAAGGCTGATGCACGGGATTCCTTTAATAGCAAGCACCCCTTGTGTATTTTAAATGATTTCATTTTCCTTAATTTTATTTTCTGTACGACTTCTCAGAACCACAATGGCTGCATTAAAATGAGGCCTCCTTTTATTTGAAAACTAATGATTCAGCAGGCCTGGGGCAGGGCCTGAGAGTCTGCATTTCTGGCAGGTGCCCAGGCAGGGCTCAAGTCACAGCCCCACAGACTGCCACTGTGAGATGCAAGGCTCCGGCTGAGTCCATTTGGTACAGGTGGGGTTGAGATAAGGCAAGCCTCCAATGAGCCCTACTCAGCCCTACCACCAGGAATTCTGTCCTTGACACCCATCTTCCTCTCCCCATTTCCATTCAAGCAGGTTTTGAAAATACAGAATGTGTCACCTGCACCCTTGTTTGATCATTTTAGTTTCTATTCCTTCCTCCATTCTTGTCACAACTATTGCACTTTCTTTTACATTTCTTCCAAGAATCATTATCTGGCGTTAAAACAGGAAATGTATCAATAAGAAGATTATGGCTGTCAATCCTTCTTTCTAGAAGGTCATAGGAAAAAAAATACAGTTGGGAGAAAAAAATCCCCATTATGTCCCTTCTCTTTCTCGCTCTTTTTCCCTCCTCATTAGTAAGTCTTTTAGAGGTTACTCTAATTACTTCTGCAATGGTTGAACTGCATTAGGTTTAGAGACTAATGTGCCCTGTGCCTGTCCCTCTGTCCCCTCTCCCCGTTCCCCCACTGATGTCCATATTTAGCCATTTTATTTCCTGTCAGGTGAGTGTACTCAATCAACAGTCATTTATCCAGCACATGCCCTAAGCAAGGCAGGGTTTTAGACCCTGGGAATTATCCATAGCGAACAAAACATGCAATTATGTGTTGCCAAGTTTCGTCAAATAATGAGGAAAGAATCAAGGACAAAATGTACACGTACGAGTGGGTGCTGGGTTACCTGAAGTCTGGCTTCTTTTCTCTTTTCAGCCTTTCCCTCAGAGAGTTCACCTGTTCACGTCTCATCATGCTGGAGACTCCTGATTCTGTGCTCCCAACACTACCGGGCCCATTTCTCAAACCGATCTTAGGCACACGACAGGGCAACCACACTAATCTCTTCCCTCTCAAATCAATTCTCTTCCTTTTCTTTCTCATATGACACCTCGACGCTTTCACAGAGCGGGTTCTAAATCTCACCTTCGCTGCCTCCTGCACATCCTACAATCCATGTATGACCAAGATGTGTTGATTCTTATTTCACAGTATCTTACGAATTTGATTTTTTCCTTCTATTCCAAAGCTCTCATGCTCCCACAAGTTCAACCACCAGTGGCTTCTCCCTTCTTCAAATGTGATATGTACCCATTCTTGTATTCACTGATTCATGTTTACTGCTTTAATGGATATTTATTATGCTCTTTGTAGCTGAAATGTTTATGGGGGGGTGCTGCGACGATTATGAAGATAATTAATAGGAGGTCCTTCCCCTTCAATTCTATATAATACAGTTAATACCACAGATACATAGAACTTGATTACATACACATATTTCCTCTACAGCTTAAAGCTTCATAATGATACGTAACTCCATGGATTGACCAGGGAGTACGTTTCTGTTACCCTGATTGTAATACTGCGCATAGACATGGGGAAGCCCTCACTGAAAAAAATAATGCTGTGAGTGAGGGACTAGGGTGCCCCTAGAGTAACACAGCTGCTGTGCCTGAAGGGCTCTGAGCTGTGCTCATTTTGACCTGTGCCGACAGTCCTGGCTGGACGTGTCCCCTGTGGTGTGCTGCTCACGGTGCTGGGTGCTGAGAACAGGGAAAAGCGACGGGGAGTTCAATGAAATGGCGCATACAGCTATCAAAACTACCTGTTATTCTGGGGTGCTTGAGCGGACTAGAAGGGTGCCACCTTCTCTCTGGAAAGCCGACACTCGCAATGTGACTTGTAGCTAAAGGTGCTTTTGTAGAAATGCAAGTAGCACAGTAAAGCGGTGTAGACTACATTTGACTACTCTGCCTTAGCACTAGATGGTTTGTACTATTTTTGTGTTCCAAAAAGGACTCTAAGCTCTCTGACAGTGACCTGTTGTATTGTCCCTTCCTCTGCATCTCCTACTGTACATTGCCCTAATCTGTATACGGCATCATCTGCTTTGATGTAATCTAGTCAATCTTGCCCTCCTTCAGGACCGTACTGACTCTAGTTTTGCTGCTCAAGACCCTCAGCGGTCTGCATGGCACTGGTTTCAAGCCACCTTCCATGCCTAGAACTCTACTCAATCACTGCTATCCACTCGTCTTATTCAGGTCTTTGAGAGCATCTCAGGTGACACTATGTCCATGCGCCCTCTCCAGTGCCTCCAGAAATCACATCGCCCTTTTCAGGCCACATACAGCCCAATTTTTTTGTACCATACTTGGCCACCCTTCAGTACATTATTCCATATTGTCCTTCGCCGCTTACCCATTGGTTCCCATGCATAAGTCCAGCTCCCCCAGATTATTGCAAAATAGACTGAGAGCAGGGAGATGTTTGGGAGATCATGTGAATGGAGCTAGTAATATTTTCCCTGCAGGATATGATTGCTCCTGTGTTAGAATCAATAGACCAGAGTTCTTTCACTTTATATTCTGTAAGACCAGAGTTCTTTCACTTTATATTCTGTAATCAAGTTCTATATTCTGAAGAGTACTAATTTATTAATATAACTACTGGCTTTTACATAAAAGTAATTTCATAATCTCTTCTCAAAGTCTAATTTTACATGTCAGGCTGGTAATGATAATATATAAAAAAAAAAACATCAGAAACTACTTCTCAGACTACTCTCAAAACGATTACCTTTCCCAGTGGCTGCACACATTAGGGTCTTCAAGATTCAGGGATGATGCTGTCCTGCTCCAGAGGCATAACGAGAAACAGATAAAGCTCAGGCATGAGTTCAAAGAGATAACCATTTTTTTTTTTGGAAGAACAACCTACAAGAAAACAAAAATCCCAATTAGAGAAGCATTAAAATGACCCAAACAGAATTCTTTTCAGTACAACAACCATTTGGGACCAGTTGTCAGTAGGGCTGATCCACGCATAACAAGCCATGTGTTTAAATAGACGGGTCACCAGATTTCATGGTCCAAGAGAGAGGTATTTCTTGTGTTGTGCAGGGTGGTCACCATTTTGTAAATTACTAAAATGTGCAAATCGTCATTAATTGCCATCACAACAAAAACCCTTCTCATCCAGGCCAGCCGACATTAAAGGAATCTACCCGAACAACTCAGAGCAACACAGACTTCCAGATTCTCTCACCAGGCATATTTCCCTTCTGGAAGAAGAGGGCTCACAGAGGAATCTGGCCTCATTTGTCCTGGAGGGTAAACGATGAAACAGAAGCTCCATTGACTCAAGAGAGAGGCACCTCAGGCTCAAACTGAGATTCATTCAATAATTCATTCAATGGCCATGGAACGTCTGCTAGGTCTGCTCTATCCTAGGCACTGCGCAAAAACTGGACATCAAATACAGACACAATTTCTGTCCCTGGCCATTAAGATGCCTATAATTTAATAATCATGATGTACATTTCCCACATTTAGTGCTTCCGTTTCCCCATCTGCTCAACAGAAACAAAACCAGCCATCTTACAGAGGTTTGTTCGTAGGTGTGCAGAAAAAGGTGTAAGGCTGTTTAGAGGTTGGTGTTAGAGAAAACCAACCTGGTGTTCTTGAGAGGAAGAATGAACACAACGGAAAAGCAAACAGCAGCTTATTTGTAAAAGAGGCCCACAAAGGAGATACAAGAGGAAGGAGAGAATGTTCCATGCAGACGGAACCAGAGGGGAGGGAGGGTCAGGCACACTTTGGGGAGCTCAAATTAATTCAGCCAAGAAAGAGTCAGGGGCATAGCACAAAGGGTTTTGTACACCATTGCCAAGTCCGAGAACTTCACTGGGGGATAACGCAGACCTTGCAGGGAAGTGAGCGAATCTGAGAGACTTTTGGGAATTGAATCAGTAGAACTTGATGACTGAATATGAGAGTAAGAGAGAGGAGTGCTCCCTGGAAGAGCCCCATGGGTAGATGGCGTGCCCTGCACTAAGATGAGAAGCACAGACACCCTCTCCTTCTGGGATGGAAGAAGCTTTAGATCAGGTTCAGATACATCAAGTTTGAGGTTCCCAGGAGGTACTCACATGAAGTCATCTGCAGGCATTTATTGAATACATACTATGTGCCAGGCACTCAGCAGCTTGGGTGTATAATAGCAGCATGGCCTGTGCCTGGAACTCACGCCCAGCTCCTCACCTCCAGGAACTTACCCCTTAGTCAGAAGGAAACGTTTAATTGGCACACTTATAAAATGATTTTATATAATTATTGCAAAAACGGACACGGAACTATAAATAGCTGATCCACTTACTACTTAAAAAGAGAACAGGTATTGACCTGCCTGTTGGTAAACTAGGGAAACTAGTAATAATAGGCCAGATTATGTGACCAAAGCAGTTATTTTCCGGGTGAAAGCTGGCATTTTGAGAAGTTATACTAACTTTCTACACCACAAGGCGCGGAACCAAATGGGAACAAAATTTATTGAATAATGACCTTGTGGTTTAAAAAGATAAGTTTATTGGGATGCCAGGCTGGTTCAGTTGGTGGAGCACCGAACTCCTATTTAAAAAAAAAAAAAAAGAGAGATTGATTTATTTATTTGAGAGAAAGAGAGCATGAGCTCCTGGGCATGAGTCAGGGAAGTGGCAGAAGGAGAGAACCTCAGGCTGACTCCCTGCTGAACATGGAGCCGCCTGAGGGCTCAGTCTGAGATCATGAGCTGAGCCAAAACCAAGAGTCAGACACTCAACTGACTGAGCCACCCAGGCGCCCTGGAGTGTGGGACTCTTGATCTTGGGCTCATGAGTTCGAGCCCCATGCAGGGTGTAGAGATTACTTCAAAAAAAAAAAAAAAGGGGGTAGAGGGTAAGTTTATCTTCAAATAAACAATAAACAACAATAGCAGCAAAAACCTAACCTTAGGAAATAGTTTATCCTTCAAAGTCAAGAGACTAGATCAAGGGAAGAAGTACTCAATCCTTCAAAATCAAGGCTGTTTATAAGGATAAGTGTATCAAGTATATCGTGACAAGTGTCACACTTGTGTCTAACTGCACAAAGGCTAAAACTAAAGACAACATTTGATTTAGGACAAGGAAATAATATCATGAACGTGTAGGATAATGAGAAGATACTATAAGCCATTATGAGAGGCTGTGAAATCTTTAAAAAGGGAAGTTTCCGTCATCACAAAATATATTCTAACATTAAAACCATAAATGGGTAGCCAAAATAGGGCTTATAAATTAATTCAAATTATCAGTGTTTGTCATGAAGTTGTAAAATCTGAAGCTCAACATTATATAACCAAAGAAGCTTTTCCACTTAACAAGAATGATGAACAGTGATGATGATGATGATGATGATGATGATGATAGGCAATAATTTCCAGACCGGCTCCTGGGAGCCAGGCCCAGGGCGTGGAACCTTTTATGTGCGTGATCTTTCCAACCCCCACAGTCATTTACCTAAGAAAAAGGTGTTTTTATGATCCCCATTTCACAGTTGAAGACATGTAATACACTGCTAATGTTCTCCTCATTCATCAAAAAAAGCAAACCTCTAATATACTTGGTTGTAACAAACAAGCATGGCAAATACCTCCTGTCTCATTGCTTTATCTATGTCAGGGTAAGTGTTTTGTTTCAGCGAAGTGTGAAATATATATATTAACTTTCATTCTCTCCTCAAAGACAAAACGAGTGCTGGTCAGCAGTAATCTGCTGTCTACTTACCAACAATTACCCCAAATTGGAAAGTTTATATCGTGAGTCACCATCTTAGACTCAAACCATCCATTTTCCAATTAGAAATGTTTAGTCTGTAAAGTTAGAAATTGCTGCAAGCAATGAATCAAACTGCCAAGAAAAAGAAAAAGGCTGTGTGTTTTCCTTTAATGTAAAAATTTTAACGTTAATCTTTTGGTAGCCCTTCTTGCTTTGCACTTGACGTGAAGCTCTATGAAGGCTTTAACCTCTCTGTGGGGATGGCAGGAAAAAAAAAAAAAAAGCAAAATTTGGTTACCTCCCCTTTGCTTTTGAAATTTGGCATACAGAAAAATCTAACTGCATTGCCAAGTTGCTGGAGGTGTTTACAGAAGGGAAAATATAAAGACATTTAAAAAAATGTATATATACATCAGCTGGTCTCATTCCCCAAGGATTTTCCAAATTAAAATAAAAAAATTAACTGAGTTCTAAAATAACCTGCATTAGAGTATAAAACATCAAAAGCAAAAAGAATTGCTAGTTCCAGATGCAGGGATCATGCAACCTCACATAAACAGGTTAAAACCCTTTGAGAAAATAATTCAAATGTTATATACCGTGTGGGGAAAGGACATTTCACAGACATGCCAATGAGCTGTAAGAAACTATAGAAATACAACATTTCATTATATTCAGAACACAGATGTTCCGTCCTTTTGTTCTGTCTTGTTGAATAAAAGGCACTGAGAGAAAAAACCCAAGTCAGAAATGGATAGGGCATTACATATACCATTTCCCTGCTTTATTTGTATTCGTCTATAGGTTTCGCTGAGTAAATGCGGGTACAGTTTTTCCTTTACATCTACCCTGAAGGAAAAAAGTTCAACACATTTCCCCCTCATTTCTCTCTTTTAAGCTGTGCCATCTTGTCTTACACTATAATCTTCCACTTTGGAGCACATATGAAAACAAAACACAATCTTTAAAAAATAGAACTATTTCAATTGGAAAAAAAGTAACACAGTGGTGATTTGCTTCATTAAAATAGACATTTGGAAAATATTCAAAACTCTAAATTAAGAGTTCTGCTACCCCCACCCACTCAGTCTTCATCTTCAAATAACTTTCAAATAACTTTCCATTTAACAAAATTTAAAATGTAAAAAAAAAAAGAGAGAGTCATTTGCATGAACCCCCTAGTGCCAAACTTGATTGCATTTCATATCATTCACTTAATTATTATGGAAAAATCAAAACAGAAAATCAGTACAACTGATTAGCATTGCTAAAGTGCTCCTATTAGAAAAAAGAAACACAGCAGGTAGGATTAACTCTTGCTACCTACTAGGAAGGCAGGCTTTGCTTATTCTCACAAAAACCTCGATAAATAATCAGGTTGAATACAATCCTTACAATGGATGAATCTAGGTTCTGATGATAGGGAGTAGTTTATCAGTGTATTAGGGAGAGATAAATAACGGGGGCGTTGACTTGCTAATTTATTTTTGCAACAACAGAGGGATAAATGATGCCAGACAATCCTTTCTGCCTCTAAAATCTATTTCCTTCCTAGAATCATTAAGTGCACTCATAGAAATAACTTGGGTGCCCTCACCCAGTTTTTCTTCAAGCTCATTTCCTTAAAATCATCTCACAGTTTTCTAAGCGAGAATAAATTTCATGATTAAGAGTAGTCACATTTCCACAATCCCTACCCCCTCTCTGGGTACCAAAAGCCACCAATTTTCCCTGATCACACCATCATGTTATCTGTAAATAACATACTAGCTTTTCCTCAGAAAGGCTGCCCAAGTGGGACAGAAGGAACATGCTGTGTTCCTCCTGGAGCTTCAGGCCTGTGACTAGAATATCAGAGCTCCAGCTTGGGGGTATCAACGATGTCAAAAGACACTCATGTGACTCTTGATCTCAGGGTTCTGAGTTCAAGCCCCACATTGGCAGTAGAGCTTACTTAAAAAAAAAAAAAAAAGAATAACACTACTGGTTGTCCTGGGAACAACCCCAGATGAGAACTTCCACAGAAATACTACTTTGCAGATAAAAAGAATCCAGGAGGCATTGTTGTGATTTCTGTTTTGACCATCCAAAGCTAGTTATTCTAGCAGCGTATGACTTCAACCAAGCATAACTCTTTCTCTG